GGGGGATGGGCATGGAGGAGGGCACTTGTGGGGATGAGCACTGAGTGTTATGTGGAAACTAATTTGACAATAAACTATTTAAAAAAAAAAAAAACAAAAAACAAAAACCTCCCCGGAAAGAATGTGAGTGAAGGGGAATGCTGCCAGTGCCAGTGCCGGCAAACACCACGCAGCAGAGCGGCCACCGCCTTTACTCCTGGCACAAATTCCGGGGCTAGCCACGTTACAGAGTGAAATCAGTCCCATTCGAGTCAGATCTGACAGGCAGTCACCTAAAAAGATGAAAATTATCAAAAAGACTGTTTGAAACATACGACTTATACAAAGCTAACAATCCAAGTGTGCATGATGCTCGAGACAATGGCTAATGGTAGCAAGAGCTATAGTACCCTGATATTTTAAAATAAAGCTCGCTTCAGCCTGCTAAATGTATTTTTTTCTCATTCTTTTAGAATTTGTATTTTAGGGACATGATTCATAATGTACTTGTATTAATATGGTAGGTCATATATATAATTTCTAAATAAATAATTATGTATATATGAAGAAATGGATTCAAAAATTTGGAAACCTATGGGGGTGCCTGGGTGGCTCAGTCAGTTGAGCATCTGACTTTGGCTCAGGTCATTATCTCATGGTTCGTGGGTTCAAGCCCTGTGTCGGGCTCTGTGCTGACAGCTGAGCCTTGAGCCTGTTTCAGATTCTGTGTCTCCCTCTCTTTCTGACCCTCCCCTGCTCACGTGCTCTCTCTCTCTCTCAGAAACAAATAAAACATTATAAAAAATTTGGAAACCTCTTTTTTGATAAAGAAATATATAAAAATGAGCTCAGTGTGGGGCGCCTGGGTGGCTTAGTCGGTTGAGCGTCCGACTTTCGCTTGGGTCATGATCTCACGGTTTGTGGGTTCGAGCCCCGCGTCGGGCTCTGTGCTGACTGCCAGCTTGGAGCCTGGAGGCTGTTTCAGAGTCTGTGTCTCCCTCTCTCTCTCTGACCCTCCCCTGCTTGCGCTGTCTCTCTCTCTCTCTCTCCTAGAAATAAATAAAAACACTAAAAAAATTTTTTTAAAAAATGAGCTGAGTGATAAAAATATGAGATAGGAAAGGAAAATGAAATAGTACCAATGAAACGGAATCTCCAAGAAAAAGACTAGAAAAGCTGGATAAGTACCTTTAGAAGGTCACTGGAGATGATAATGACCAAGCAGGGAAAATCAACATTAAATACTCATTTCCAACTTCTCAGAAAGTGTGCTTTATCAGTAAATTACAACTTCACATACAAATGGCACCGTTTTCCATATATGATCTGAAGAAAGTTTTACAACTTAAAGAAAGGTATGATTCTAGAATTCATAACACTCAAACAGATAAAAATGTATACAGTATTAACTGTCAAGTAATAGCTTATCTACTGAATAATAAAAGAATACTATGTCCTAAAGGGGCTCCAGTAAACTCTGTTTTGAAGAATATGTCCTTACATGAGCAGTCAATGAGCAGCCAAAGGAATGAACAGCAGTAACTAACCAGTAACTAACCAAGCAGGGACCACAGCCAGCCAGTGTCTTCATGAATGAACAAAACAGCACAGCATGATTTATAAAGAAATCCAGTCAGTGGTGAGTTTGAAAGAAATTCATCTAGCTCTAAATCCAATAGAAATTGAACTACTTGCCAAGTCTAAAAATGAACTCCAAAAAAGGAGGGGAGGGCTATTCTGTTAAAACTACTCAAGAAGCACTTTGCACCAGGCCGAGACTTCCCTGGGTGCTAGACTGAGCGTGTGTGCTACATACACATTACAGGCAGCCAGGAACAATACTCGCCCAGGCACAGAATTTCTCACTTAGTACATGCAGGGCCACAGATGGAAAAAGGACCCTAACATTCAAAAAGTATTCTCCCACCCTCAAGGTTAGCCTGTGGTTACCTGTCACATTTTTACACTTATTCTGTGGTAAGTGTCAAATTTCCCTTGGAGCCTGGAAAGAATCCCCTGCTTACAGGTTAAATGCAGCAGCACTGAATGCCTTTCCTTTAAACCACACTCAGCAACTAAAAATTACAAAGATCTTTAAGATTCCTAACAAAGCCTTTGAAAGCAATTTATAAAAAGTCATTTCCCAGCCCAAAGATCCTGAGTAGAGCTAAAATGGGGAAATGTGAAAATAATTTAAGATATTAAAGGGACAAATAGTTTACCACTAAATAATCGCTCTAGAAGCTCTTGGGCAGCTCAGGGGCCAAGCATACAATTTCTTTCCAAAAAGGAAGCTGTAAACCCATACATCACAATTAATGATATTTATCAACTTATTTATTATTGTTTACATTTGTTGGGTACAACAACCAAACAGAAAATTCCCAATTGAAAACCATTAATGATTCAAAAATTGTATAAAAATTTATCTCAATGATGCTTTTATTAGGCTACCACTCAAATTACTTTGAATTTCCTAAACACAAATGCTAACAGTTGATCAAGAGCAGACTGACAGGCAAGTTCCAAACTTAAAAAATAGCTGATGTAGGGCACCCCAGTGGCTCAGTCAGTTGAGTGTCCGACTGTTTTTTTTTTAATGTTTTATTTATTTCTGGGAGGGGGAGGGGAAGAGAGAGAGAGAGAGACAGCGTGAGCAGGGGAGGGTCAGAGAGAGGGGGAGATATAGAATCCAAAGCAGGCTCCAGGCTCTGAGCTGTCAGCACGGAGCCCGATGCAGGGCTTGAACCCACAAACAGTGAGATCATGACCTGAGCTGAAGTCGGACTCTCAACTGACTGAGGCCCCCAGGCGCCCCAAGTGTTTGACTCCTGACTTCAGCTCAGGTCATGATCTCACAGTCTGTGAGTTCAAGCCCTACATGAGGCTCTGTGCTGACAGTGTGGAGTCTGCTTGGGATTCTCTCTCTGCCCCTCCCCTGGTCTCCACCCCACCTCAAAATAAATAAACTTTAAAAAAACAATTAGCTGATGTGAGCCACAAGTAGAAAATCAAAATATAACTTAAAAATTAGTGAGCAAGGGGCTTCCTGATGCTCCAGGCAGGGTAGATCAATCAGTCTACACTTGCAATTTATAAAATTATCAGATTGAGAAAGACCATGATTAGTGGCTGATGGAGTTCATGTGAACATACATAAGGGAAGCACAGAGTAAGGTGGACAGGGAGGCAGAAGAGAATAAAAGCACAAGGCAGTTTCAAAACCACACTTTTTTTTGGCTAGGTTGTTTTAAGCAATTTTGGTAAATATTACTACTTATTTTCTTTCTTTCTTAACTTTGACAAGGAAAAAATAAAGACTATGTATTAGAGACCACGGTTCCAGCTTTTAAAAAGAACAGGTAAATGCTTAGGAAGTGCCTTTCAGAGACAGCAGACTATTTAAGGGATGAGTATTATTCCCACTTAAGACCAAATATTTTACAATTCCACAGAGATGTTTCTATTTATTTTTAGAAATTTCAGCAGCCAACACCAAAAAATTTCTTAAGGAAACAAAAGGGAAAGAGACAGGTTTTGATATGTGGCTCATTATTTACGTACTGCTGATGCCCATTTCTTGTGTTTACCTCAGGATCCAAGTTTCTGAAAACATACATTCTTGTCTTCTCCATCATCGCAAACAAATCTGGATTATCTTTGGCCCACTTCATATCCCAGACATCTTTCCGCTCCAATTTTAACAACTCGCCAATGACCTGCTGTCCTGTGCTGTCTGTTACCCGAGCGTCCAAGTCAAAGACAGTTAGAATTCCTGAGATATCTATGATAGCAAGACGACTACAAATAATGAAATTGGAGAAGGGAAACAAAATGGTAAAATGACGATCAGCAATCATGCATATAATTACCTATTACCCTTCTTCCGCAAAATCAGTTCATCTGAATCTGGGAAGAAGGCAGAAATAGCTTTAAGGGGTATCTGGGTGGCTCAGTCGGTTAAGCATCTGACTTCAGCTCAAGTCATGATATCACAGTTCATGACTTCAAGCCCCACATCAGGCTCTGAGCTGTCAGCACAGAGCCTGGAGTTTGCTTCAGTCTGTGTCTTCCTCTCTCTCTGCCCCTCCCCCGCACATGTTCTATCTGTCTCTTTCTCTCTCTCAAAAATAAGTAAACACTAAAAAAATTTTAATGAAAAAAAGAAAAAAGAAATGACTTTAAAGAAATAACTGATTTTAAACAAATTTTATAAATTTGATAGAAGACATGAACTACTCCCCATTTTGCTTCCTTGTGAGGACAAGTATCCCAAGGAATAAAGCAACAGGCAAGCAAACAATTTAAAATACTACATCTGAATTCCTATATTTTGCCCAATTAGAGAAAAAATTCTAAATACAGTATAATAAATACACATTAAAATATAAATATAGTACAGTAAAACCACACGGAACTATAAGACAAATTTAAAACAAAGACACATCTTTGTATTTATTACATAAACCCAAGAATCCCATTTGACAACTTCTAAACTCAGCATCTACATGAGGAGAATTTTCAGACTTACCTGGAGTTACAATTCAGAGATAACTGGTAGGCTCGACAATTAAGGGAATATTTTTGAATCAAACCAACATTAGGAAGACTGTATCTCTGAATGGTGCCAGACTCACGGCCCTATGGAAATTACTTTTGATTAATAAAGCATATTTGCATAGTAACATTAAATTACAAGTACAGGTCTCTCTCTATGTTCATACATTTGTTTCGAAACCAAAGTGACGGTGTCATAACTAATTCCCAATTCTGATACTAAATCATATTACTGAGTACATATTTATCTCCCAATTTAATTATAACCCTTTAAAAGTGGTTGAAGGTGATCTAATTTTTTTCATGTAGCATTCATGAAAGAAATCAGAAACTTAGATATTCAATAAAACATAACTCCTTATGTCACAAGGAAGAAATAATGAGGGTGATTTACAGTTGTAGTCTAGGTTTATATTTAAGGTACATTAAAAACTAAAATATAGGGGGGCGCCTGGGTGGCTTAGTCGGTTAAGCGTCCGGCTTTCGCTTGGGTCATGATCTCGTGGTTCGTGGGTTCGAGCCCCGCGTCGGGCTCTGTGCTGACTGCCGGCTCAGAGCCTGGAGCCTGTTTCAGTCTGTGACTCCCTCTCTCTCTGACCCTCCCCTGCTCACTATCTCTCTCTCTCTCTCTCTCTCTCCTAGAAATAAATAAAACATTAAAAATTTAAAAAAAAAAAAAAAAAAAAAAAACTAAAATATAGGTTTATTGAATTAAATTTCATACATAGGAAAAATCAATATAAGATCACCATATGAAACAGTGGTTACTGAAAGTCTATGTTTTTATCCCATAGCCAACCATCTGATACTAGTTAGTGGCAAAGGGAGATGATCAGAGGCACTGATACAATGAGTATTAGTTTAAATGTGTTAGAATGGCTATAATTAACTTGGGAAAAAACAAATGTTGGTGAGGATGGGGAGAAAGGGGAACCCTTTTGCACTGCTGGAGGGAGTGTAAACTGGTGCAGCCACTCTGGAAAACAGTATGGAGGCTCCTCAAAATTTTTTTTAAAAAATTAAAAATAGAGCTACCCTACAACCCAGCAATTATACTACTAGGTATTTATCCAAAGGATACAAAAAGGCTGATTCATCCAGATGACCAACCAACACATGAAAAAATGCTCAACATCACTCATCATCAGGGAAATACAAATCAAAACCACAATGACATACCACCTCACACCTGTCAGAATGGCTAACATTGGCAACTCGGGCAACAACAAGATGTTGGCGAGGATGCAGAGAAAGAGGAACCCTTTTGCACTGTTGGTGGGAGTGCAAACGGTGCAGCCACTCTGGAAAACAGTATAGAGGTTCCTCAAAAAATTAAAACTAGAACTACCCTATGACCTAGCAATTGCACAACTAGGTATTTATCCAAAGGATTCAGGTGTGCTGTTTCAAAGGGGCACATGCACCCCAATATTTATAGCAGCACTATCGACAATAGCCAAAGTATGGAAAGTGCCCAAATGTCCATCGATAGATGAATGGATAAAGAAGGTGTGGTATACACACACACACACACACACACACACACACACACACACACACACAGTGGAGTATTACTCAGCAATCAAAAAGAATGAAATCTTGCCATTTGCAACTATGTGGATGGAACTAGAGAGAACTAAGCAAAATTAGTCAGAGAAAGACAAATACATGACTTCACTCATATGAGGACTTTAATACACAAAACAGATGCACATAAGGGAAGGGAAGCAAAAATAATATAAGAGCGGGGAGGAGGACAAAACATAAGAGATTCTTAAATATAGAGAACAAACAGAGGACTGCCGGAGGGGTTGTGAAAGGGGGGTTGGGAAAATGGGAGAGGGGCATTAAGAAATCTACTGAAATCATTGTTGCACTATATGCTAACTAACTTGGATGTAAATTTTAAGAATAAACAATAAAATAAAATATTAATAAAATTTTTAAAAGGCTGATTTGAAGGGGCACATGCACCTCAATGTTTACAGCAGTGCTATCAACAATAGCCAATTACGGAAAGAGCCCAAATGTCCATCGACTGATGAATGGATAAAGAAGATGTGGTGTAAGACTGACACCTCCCACGGCCTGCCAGGTGAGGTAGGTCAATAAACTGTTCTGTGAATAGTGGGGAACAAAAAGATGTGGTGTGTGTGTGTGTGTGTGTATACACACACACACACACACGAATATTAGCAATTACAAAAAGTAAAATATTGTCATTTTCAACAATGTGGATATAACTAGAATGTATAATGCTAAGTAAAATAAGTCAGTGAGAGAAAGGTACTGTATGATTTCGTTCATATGTGGAATTCAAGAAACACAACAGATACACACAGGAGAAGGGAAGAAAAAATAAGATAAAAACAGAGTGGGAGGCAAACCATAAGAGACTCTTAAATACAGAGAACAAACAGATGATGGAGGGAGGTGGGTGGGGGGTAGGCTAGATGGGTGATGGTCATTAAAGAGGGCACTTTTGAGGATGAGCACTGGGTATTATATGTAAGTGATGAAGCACTGGGTTCTTCTCTTGAAACCACTATTACAATTAGGTTAGCTGACTTGGATTTAAATAATATTTAAAAAAATTTTTTAACATTTATTTATTTTTGAGAGAGGGAGAGAGACAGAGTGTGAGTGGGGGAGGGGCAGAGAGAGAGGGAGACAGAATCTGAATAAGGTTCCAGGCTGAGCTATCAGCACAGAGCCTGGCTCAAACCCACAAACTGTGAGATCATGACCTAAGCCGAAGTCAGATGCTCAACCAGCTGAGCCACCCAGATGCCTCTAAATAAAACAAAAATTTTTAAAGAATATAAATGAGGCTAGGCAACAGCTTGGAACTGACACGCCAAAAGTATAATCCTTAAAAGGGAAAACTGATATACTGGCATTCATCAAAATCAAAATTTTTTCTCTGTGAATAACCTTGTTAGAAGAAAAAGTCAAAGTACAAATTGGAAGAATATTTGCAAACCATGTGTCTAACAAAGTGGGCATCTCTCTAGAATATGTAAGGAAGTCTCAAGACATAAAATATTGCATTAAAAGCTGATTAGAGATTCCAAAAAATATGTGTTTAAAGATAAAACAGAATAGAAGCTTCAATGTAACTGCTCAAGCCTTAACACTGACAGATCAATAGACGGTATAACAGACAGGAGAGAACTGTGGTGTCTAAGCCCTTCTGCTCCTCTGGTCATGGCAATGGGACAATGTGGAAGGCTCCGCTCAGGGCATCTTTCTGTCCTCCGATTTTTAATCAGAGCAGTACCGCTTCTGCAGCGTGATTCTCAAGAAGGGCCTATCAGAAAGGGACGGAGGGGGAGGGGAAGCATATTTTTTAATGTATAAAAGGAAGGTATGGGTTCCATCTTTCTTTCCTACCCCAGTATGGTAAATCTTCGATATTTGCCATATTTACCATATTGGGGTAGGAAAAAAAGATTTTGTTTTTGAAAAAGGGGGTCCTGTGGCTTTAAAGGTTTGAAAAAGTAATCATTCTAAAACCTTCTACATTTCAACAGTGAAATTTTAAATGCAGAAGATATTTTCTCCATTAAAATTTCTGGCTGGTATGAAAACTATCCAAGTGTGTTTGTTATAGATAGACTCCATCATTTGGGAATTACATCAATTTTTGTGATTGATATGAGTTGCATGTTATTTTATTTATTTTTGCAAATGTCAGAGGCACCACTAGCACAACCAAAACACCCTGCCATTGAGCCATGAATCTAGAAAGAAAACGAGGCCCTATAAGACAAGCTGCCTTCAAAGTACCCCAAATTCATCTGCTGAGGAAAAATATATAATACATTCTTAAGATTTTTGTCCCCCATAAAATTATCTAATGGCTAACGAACATAACTAGAACTGTAAATACACACTATTAAGGCTCTGTTTACACAATTAAAATTTAATCACTCCACCAGCATTACTATATTAAAGTAAACATTTAGTTCTAAAATTAGTATTTTCAAATGCCAGAGCTCAAGAAAAGCTACCATAACATTCATTTCATTTCATTTGAAAAATTCAGCAAAAGTTTGCCCTAGACTTTTTTATTTTACTGGTTAGCAAACACACCACCTCTTCATTTTAAGTCATATGTAAGTAGCTGAGCCAAAGCACTTTCTCCAACACCAAATAGCGGGCCACGTACAGAAGGAAGCTTTCTAAGACCTACTACCACCATCCAATCCACTCGACACTCGCCAATCCTTGTGTGGCTCATGCAAGTCTGTGTCACACTCTCCCCAGCTGGCCATTATTCTACTGCTTTTATTAATAGCTATTTTTGGGGGGCACCTGAGTGGCTCAGTCGGTTGAGCAACCAATTTCGGCTCAGGTCATGATCTCATGGTTCATGGGTTCGAGCCCCGCACTGGGCTCTGTGCTGACAGCTAGCTCAGAGCCTAGAGACTGTTTCAGATTCTGTGTCTCCCTCTCTCTCTGACCCTCCCCTGCTCACGCTGTCCATCTCTCTCTCAGAAATAAATAAAACATTAAAAAATATATATTAATAGCTATTTTTGCAAATAATTAACAATTTGTGAGGCAATCTTTAAAACTTTCATATTTATTATGTTGGGCTTAGAAAACTATGTACCCACAAGATGATATTCAAATCCAAAACATATTACTTTACTCAATTTTTATAATTTAAACAATTATTATTCATAAAATCAGTTTTTTAAGAACTTACCACGATCAGTGTCTTATCAGATGCAGTTATGGCACAAATCGGATCCCGGGTGCCCTAAAATAAACCAATTGTTATTCTTTAACAAATACTTATTGAATGACTAATCTGGTATAAGGTAGTATGCATTTCACTAAGAAGAATACTTCAATATATTTATTAACTTAAACATTCACTTACTGAGCATCTACTATGCGCAAGATGCTGAACTAAGCACTGAAGACACTCAAAGTCTTTCCTCTCAGGGATTACTCAAAAGCCTACTGGGAAGACAGCAAGCTGAATACCTAATTACAGAATAGTAAGATAAAAGCAGCGATGTGTTCAGGAGCTAGGACAGCAACAGAGGAAGGACATCTCACTTACACAGAAGTACACAGGGAGACAGAAACCTGAGTTTAGTCATAAAAGACGAACAGATGACAGAAGGACCAGCCTGTGCCAGCAAAGTAACAAGCTGGACGGATCTCAAGAGCTGATGCTTAGTGAGGAAAAGCCAATCTTAAAGGTTACATACCACATGATTCCATTCATTTAAAGAATTCTCAGAGTGACAAAACCAGAAATGGAAACTGATGAATGGTTGCCAGTGGGCAGGGATGGGGTGGAGAACAAGTGTGAAAACAAAGAAATAGCACGAGGCAATTCTTTCAGGACAGTAAGATTACATAAAACCATGCGCACACATGGACATGTATAAACTAGTGAAAACTGACTAAGGAATCAGGTGGGGGTCCAGTTAACAGTGTCATTATCAATGTCAATTTCCTGTTTTTTATATTATATTACAGTTATAGAAGATGTCACCATTAGGAAGCAGGGTAAAAATGTTCTATGCGTTATCTGTGCAACTCTAGTGAGCCTGTAATTACTTCAAAAATGTTTTTAGGGGCCCCAGGTGGCTCTAGTAGGTTGTGTGTCTGACTCTTGATTTCAGCTCAGGTCATGATTTCATGGTTATGGGACTGAGCCCAGAATCATGGACTGGAACTCCACACTCAGCGTGGAGCTTGCTTAAGATTCTCTGTCTCTCTCTCTCTCTCTGCCCCTCTCCCCTTCTCATGCTCTCTCTCTCTAAAATAAAATTTAAAAAAAGAATAAGAAAAAACAAAACCAAAAATGTTTTTAAAAATCAAAAGAAGGAAAAAACACACCTAGGAAAAGGTTTTCAGAATAGAAATTTTTAAAGAATTACTAGAATATGATGCTATTCACTAAAAACAAATTCTTTTGCAGATCTCAAAGTAAAATTACAGTACTTCCAAATCTACAGATACTAATATTTGCTGGCAATAAGTTCACCTACTTGAATGGCTTTACTATAATCAAGCACCCCATCCACTGATCCGGAAGGAGTATCATCAACATGATAAATTCTGGAAAAAAAGGTCAAAATTGCAAAGATAGTGTAAGTACAGGTTATACCATTTCATAATCTCTAGAATAATTAAAGGATTGAATGCCACCAATGAATATTGTTATGTAACATTAATGTCTTGATTATTTTAAAGAATTCTTGACACAACTCAATCCTGTAAAGGTAGGTGTTTCCTAATTATGCAAGTGGTATGTTCCTGAAAGCTACGTGAAAAATATATTTGAACATTGAATCATATATTTCCAATGAATTTCATTAAGACCCATCAGCTATTTTACCTTATTCTCCAAATGAACATCAGGAATACCTTATGATACACTAAGTAAGTTTTTCTGTGTTTCTCCATAATTTCCTTTCTAACACATTTCTAATGTGTTCAATAAAGGTAAAGCCTAGGGGCACCTGGGTGGTTCAGTTGGTTAAGGGTCTGACTTTGCCTCAGGTCATGATCTCAAATTCTGTGGGTTCAAGGCCCGCATCAGGCTCTCAGCTGTTTGCACAGAGCCTGCAGCCTGCTTTGGATTCTGTCTCCCTCTCTGTCCCTCCCCTGCTTGTGCTCTGTCTCTGTTTCTCAAAAATAAATAAATGTTAAAAAAATTTTAGGGTTGCCTGGGTGGCTCAGTCAGTTGAGTGTCCAACTTCGGCTCAGGTCATGATCTCACACTCATGGGTTCAAGCCTCCGTCGGGCTCTGTGCTGACAGCTCAGAGCCCGGAGCCCACATTGGATTCTAGGTCTCCCTCTCTCTTTGCCCCTCCCCTGCTTGTGCTTTCTCTCTCTTTCCATCTCTCAAAAAATAAAATGAGACATTAAAAAAAATTAATTATAAAGATTTTTAAATAAATAAAAGTGAAGCCTAAATGTATTTGGGAAGGTCTAATTAATGAGATTTTTGTTCTGAACTAAAAGAATCATTCGTTTGTTCCCAGTGTTATGATGATGACTTTTGGACTTTGCCCATCTCTCTGGTAGTTTCATTATACTATTCACACCTTAGTATTCCCACTAGTTTACTTGTCCCTCCCACTAGTTGGTGAGTTTCCTAGGAGCAAAGACTGTATCCCTAGTGCCTAGCACAGTGCCATATACTGTCATGTACTCTATGTCTGCTGGAAAAATATTAAAATGAGTGGAGATGAATAGGGCAGATACATCATAGAGTAGCTATGAGCCCCTGGGCAAGTCACTTAACTTCTCTGATCCTCAACTTCTCCATGTGGAAATAAGGGCAACCTTTTGCAGGGGTTTTTTAAGAGGCATAAATAAAATGATGTTTGTAAAACACATTTGCACAGAGCCTGATCATCAGGAAATCATAAATGTAATATAATCCTAAGAAAATCAAGCCATTTTCTATCTTGAAGATATTATGAGATTTTATCGCTGTTAAATTGAAATCATAATTGTACTTTGATCAATAAGGAGATTAAATGTTGAATTTAATAGAAATGTACTAAACACAGAAAGAAAATGTATTTAAAAAAGAAATAATTAAATTTAGAGGTGTTATGTTTCTGTATTTTACTACATTTCTATTAAGTATATCCATCTACTATTCTACCGAGTTATCACAAAATAAAAGTCAACAGTTAGAATGGGAGGGCTCTCAAGAGATCACACGGCCCCCTTCCCTTTCTTAAAACAAGTAGGGGACCACAAGAAAAGCCAATCTGAGTGAAGTGCTTCAGAGCCACATCAACCTGGCTTTATGTCCCATCTCTACTTACCAGCTAGTGACCTTTGGCAAATAACTTAAGCTCTTGTGTCTTAGTTGCTTCTCTGTGAAACAGGATTAATAAGAGTACCGACTAGGCTTACTGGGATATCTGGCAGATAAGAAGTATTCAATGTTGGCTGTTATCACTATCACCAAAGATATTTTACAGATGAGGAAAGCGAGGTCCAGAGAGAACCTGCCCAGTCATATCCCACATAGAAATATAAGGAAATGCTGCCGTCTTAAAGCCAGAGTATCTTTAGCTGGCTCCCAGAAGACACTCACTCTATGGAGAGGCCAGACTTTTCTGTCCCAGCTTTGTCTAGTATCTACTTTGTCCTTGCAGATGACAGTTCTCTTGCTTATTACTGTTACCACTGCCACATGCTGTCCTGAAAAGGCCAAAGACTCTTCCTATTTAGACTTTCATAACCACTGAGAAGATACAGTATTTTTCAATTGGCTTTTTTGTTTGTTTTGCTTCCCTATGAATTCATATATCCAAACTATTTTTACTGGGGACATATCTCCTGTCTTATTACATGAGGGAGTCTTAAAGGGAAGGGAAGATTGCATTAGGTTCACAAGCATGTGTGAGGGCAGATGATCTGAAAAAGCAATCCAGGGTTTCTGACATGCCCCCCACTGCCCACTCCCAACAGAGGCCCATGCCCTGATTAAAAATCATTAGGTTAAATAAAACATTCAACAAAATGCTTTATTTAAAGGCTTAGGGTGGGGCGCCTGGGTAGCTCAGTCAGTTAAGCCTCTGACTTCATCTCAGGTCATGATCTCATGAGTCATGGGTTCGAGGCTCGCATGGGGCTATGTGCTGACAGTGTGGAGCCTGCTTGGGATTCTCTCTTTCTCCCTCTCTGCCCCTCCCTTGCTCACACACTCTCTCTCAAAATAAATAAACTTTAAAATACATACATACAGGCAGGCAGGCAGGCTTAGGGTAATAACAAATGGGCAAAATACAGAATATCAGCAACAGAGATGATATAACTTACAAAACACAGTAAATACATCTACACCTTGAAACTTACTACAGGAAATCCCCCATCCTGGTCCTAACTTCTCTATCTAGCAGAGCCTTCTCTATCACTTAACCTGACTCCCTGGTATCCAGGGCAAGAGAAAGAAGCCCAAGTGACCAGTTCACCCTACTCCAGTTCACCCTACCTGAAGACCTCCTCCATATCTGTGTCTAAGAACCTGCCTATCCTATGGTGACTGATACTGGGATCACCCCCACTCTCCTGGAAAGACCTGTACCACTAACCTATAAGAATAAGGCTCTGGTCAGACATTCAACTGAATAATCATATTTCAAGTACAGTATAAAAACCCTAATATGGTGAGAGCAGGTGAGAGAGAATAGCTATTTCCTTATAAAAACACAGACTTCCAGACTTTATCTCTAAGGGCTTTCTTTTATTACACCACACTTCTTCTTATTTATTTTGATAAATTTGAAAGATTTTGAAATTAATGGGAAAATATTATTTCTAGTAATCAAAACAATTTATAGTTCTCCTGCATGACAATTTAGAATTAACTATGTCTGATTTAAATGCGATATGGTTGAGCTACTAAAAACCATGCATCAAAAGATATACCTTTCTCTCCCTTCTTTCCGAGACCGTGTGATCTGATTAATTTCCAATGCTGTGAGCTTCTTTGCCACGCGATATTGCCAGGTATAAAATGCTTCTTTTGAAGCTGCTATCACATGAGTTTTGGTCATTGCAACAAATAATGGTACTATTTAAAAGAGCATTAAAACAATTAGGTTACAGTTACACAGAATCACAGAATGTTTCTGCTGCAAAGGAATTCAGTGACCACTGTATTCAACCCCTCATTTCAGACAATATACCCCACATGCAGTCTCTAAAATCAAAAAAATAATCAAAAACTTGTAGGACTATACAAAAATATTAACATCAAAATGGATCAAAGACCTAAAATGTAAGAGCCAGAATTACTGTAGAAATCTTAGGGGGGGAAAATCAGGAATAAATTTTTATGACCTTGGATTAGGCAAGAGTTTCTTAGATATGACACCAAAAGCCCAAGCAACAAAAGAAAAAGTGGATAAACTGGACTTCATCAAAATTTAAAACATTTGTGCCTTAAAGGACACCATCAAAAAAGTGAAGAGACAACCCACAGAATGGAACAAAATGTCAGTAAGTCATATATGTGATAAGGAATTATTTCTAGAATATGTAAAGATCTCTTACAACTCAATAATAAAAGGACAAATAGCCCAATTAAAAGATGGTCAAAGAATCTGAATGGACATTTTTCCAATGAAGATATACAAATAGCCACTAAGCAAAGGAAAAAGATGTTCGATATCATTAGCCATCAAGCAAATGCAAATCAAAACCACAATGAGATACCACTCCACACCCACTCTAATGGCTAGAATCAAAAGGTCAGCCAATAATGAGTATTGCCAAGGATGTAGAGAAACGTAAGGGAAATAGTGGTGCACCCACTTTGAAAAATAGCTTGGCAGTTTCTCCATTTGTTAAATATAGAGTTATCACAGGCCCCACCAACCCCACTCTTAGGTATATACCCAAGAGAAATGAAAACAAACTTCCACATCGAAACTCATATACAAATGTTCAGAACAGCATTGTTCATAATAGCCAAAAAGTAGAAATAGCTCAAATGTCCATTAACTGATAAATAGATCAATCAAATCCCAATATACCTCCTCCCATCCCCACTACTATTACTGCTTTGTTCGGGCCTTTATCCTTCCCTCTGATCTCACATTTTATAATTCCTCATTAAGTTAGAAAAGAAAATTCTTGATGGCTAACAGACACATGAAAAGATGCTCCACATCACTTATCATCAGGGAAATACAAATCAAATCCACAATGAGATAGCACCTCACACCTGTCAGAATGGCTAATATCAACAACTCAGGAAACAACAGATGTACTGCTGGCGGGAATGCAAACTGGCACAACCACCCTGGAAAACAGTATGCAGGCTCCTCAAAAAATTAAAAATAGAATTACACTACTAGGTATTTATCCAAAGGGTACAAAAGGACTGATTTGAGGGGCACATGTACCCCAATGTTTATAGCAGCACTATCAACAACAGGCATATATATATATATAAATGGAAGACTACCTAGCAATCAAAAAGAATGAAATCCTGCCATTTGCAACAACATGGGTGGAACTAGAATGTATTCTGCTAGATGAAATAAGTTAGTCAGAAAAAGACAAATATCCTATGATTTCATTCATATGTAGAATTTGAGAAGCAAAACAGATGAACATAGAGGAAGGGAAGGAAAAATAAGATAAAAACAGAGAGGGAGGCAAACCATAAAAGATTGTTAAGTACAGAGAACTGAAGGTTGCTGGAGGGGTGTTGGGTAAGGCAGATGGGCTAAGTAGGTGATGGGCATTAAGGAGGGCACTTGTTGGGATGAGCACTGAGTGTTACATGTAAGTGATGAATCATTGAGTTCTACTGAAACCAATACTACTCTGTCTGTTAACCAACTTGAATTTAAATAAATAAATTTAATTAAAAAAAGAACTATTAGAGATTTTTTAAAAAAGAAAATCATGAGGAAGAGAAGATAGATTTAGAGTACTGTACTGCAAAATCTGCGTATAAGCAGACCCACACAGTCCAAATCTGTGTTGTTCAAGAGTTAGCTGTATCATTAAAATTAATTTTTACCTGCTTAAAAAAAAAGAAAATTCTCCAAACCTCCTTCCCAATTTAGGAATATATTCTCCTAACCATATTCTCTTTTTCATCTGTTCCTTTTCTTAGAGAACATTTAATTAAGCTCCTACCCTTTGTAGGAGCTGTGTACCCTTTGATGACACAGTCTTATAAAATATATCTCAAAGATTAAAAAGAGGAAGAAGTAATATAACTTGTCCAAGGTCACAAAACACAAACTAAACACCATGAAACTAAGCAAACACATTCACACAAAATATGTGAAAACAAAACAAAAATCCATCATAAAAGATCATTTTAGTACCTATTTTCTAAATTCATGAATAATTAGACTAGCACAAAACTTATGCTTTATTAAACATTAAGCTAAGTAATCATTCATATGGACAGAATAAAGAAATGGTGTAAATAGCAGCTACTATTTATGGGGTTCTTGCCATGGTCCAAGTAGACATTTAAGTCAGCAAGAGACTGAGAAAATGAACAAAGAATCCGAAACCAGACTAATGGTAAATGTTAATTGAGTAGATTACCAACTTTGGGATTCAAATTCAAGAATTTTTATATACTAAGTAATTCAGTACAGTTGAATCATGCTAAAAATTTTTTTTAATTACAATTGTCAAGATTTTTCTATTCAAAACATGTACTATTATTGAACTCTAGAGGGAGCCAGAAGCCTTTCCTATAGGGAACAAGTGGTCTAAAGGCAGTCCCGGAGAAGCAGCAAAGCCCTGGGGAGTGCTGAGTGGGATGAATGAACATGCCAGGCCCAGGCTCTGCTCAGCTTCCTCTGACCCCATCCTCACTAAATCATAAGCCATTTTCTAAACATTTAGTACATTCTACCAAAGATACTCTAATGCTGATGACCATAATGCCTTTAGTGGGATTTGAAATAAGTTCCCAATTTTAAACTATTTTCTAATATGGGATGCTTGCATGGCTCAGTCGGTTTAGTGTCCGACCTTGGCTCAGGTCATGATCTCATGGTTCCGTGAGTTCAAGCCTAGCATCGGGCTCTCCGCTGTCAGCACGGAGCCTGCTTCGAAGCCTGTGTCTCCCTTTCTCTCTGCCCCTCTCTCTCAATCTCTCTCTCTCTCAAAAATAAATAAACATTATAAAAATAAATGACTTTCTAATAAAATACAGTTTTTCCTAAGCATTCCTTTAACCAACGTTTACATACCACTATAAATTATACTCATGTTACTTTCTGATAATATCCTAAATAATCACAATATCTTATCATCAGCCTAGTTAAATTAAAATGTTTTGTAGTTCATGGAAAGAGTCAGACTTTTGGATTCAAACTACAGGTACCTGCTTAACTCTGTGGCCTCAGGTAAATCACTTATTATCTCTGAACCTCAGTTTACTTACTGCAATCGAAAATGATAATATCTTATACAGCTGCTTTAAAGATAAAAAGAGATAATAAAATAAAGCATGGTACAGTCTCCAGAATAGAATAAATGCTTAATAATCATTTCAAAGCCAATATTTATTAACTTGAATATATATATGCATATATATGTACACACACACATACATACATACCAGGAACATGTACTATAAATATATTAATTATAAATATTTGGTTCTATACAAATGTAATTATTTTAATATATAGTGAACATATTACATAGTATAAATTCTCACTCACTCACAACTACTCTATGAGGGAAGCATTAGTATCCCCACTGAACAAAGAAACGGAAAGAGGGAAGGGTTAAATAACTGGTTGGAGTGCAGGGCTAGAAAGCGGGGGTGGGGGAGACACAAGCCCCGTCCATGCAGCCCCAGAGTCTGCCCTCCTGACCACTGCGGCATATTGCTTCTAATTCAGGGTTAATAATAGTATCACATGTGGTTACTATTATTGTTTTTACCTTTATTGCCGATATAGGTTTTTATAATAAAATCACATACAAACCCATCCGTCAATACAAAAAAACAAATACAAATATATCTAAAACATACATTCTTTTGATCTGTGTGGGAGTAAATTCAGCAAATTCATAATGGTAGATAATCTTATCCACAAAAATTATGCTAGATCTTCATTAAAAGATACATCCCATCCAGGTGGATTAGTTCTCAGGTTCCTAGAACTAAGCCTCCAGGAATAAGTTAATCCAAATTTTAACAGATAGAACATTTTAGAAAAAGAACACAACCAGGATAAAAGCATTCCATGTTCCTCTCAATTACTCATTACTTGGTAAGAAAAATTTCAAACATCTAGAATGATTATCAGAAACAAGAATTTTTAAGGAAATAATCATGCTTCCATTAACTGAACTTTGTAACATTAATAGGGAGAAGTCACTAACTAAGCAAGGATGTAAAATACCTTAAAACAACCTAGGAATTCACATATAAGTAAACCCTGCTTGTACTATTTTAGTGCTGAGGTCTGAAATAAATGTCTTCATCTGTAATGCTCCCCTACTTTCCTACTTATTAATTTCTCAATCTCTTAAAAAGATCTGGTAAACTGAAATTGCACTGACATGTTTTCATCAAATTGTCTTTCTCTAGAATCTACGCACAACTCTATGCATGTGGTAGAGACCATCATTAGAAAGCCACCTACCTGGTCCCACCAACATGGCTAAAGTCCAGGCACCTGGTACTTTCCAGGCACTTTCCATGCCTTCAATCCTCTGCAAATGCTGCTTTCTCTCCTTAAAATGTCAAAATTCAGCTCAAATGAAACCATCTCTCAGTAGGAAAGATATCCCTGATGTCCTTACTCACTAATATCCATTTATCCAACACCTTGCACAATACCAACCTAGCACATAGCTGGGGAACAGTAAGCCAGTGTTCAATGGATTAATCATATTTCATTATTTGTTTAGATATCCTACAGGAAGTTTCATAGTCAATTTCTTACAACTCTACAGATATCCAGTACAGTACCAGAAACTCACTGAACTTTTGTTAAATAAATGACTTATCATTTTCTATTTTCATGATAGAAATAAGTATTTTCCATACACTCAATAAGCATTTGTATGGGGCAGGCACTGAGTTAGATAGGGATACAGAAATTAATAAGCCGTAGATCTCTAAGAAGTTCAAAATCTTGTGGGGAAGGTAAATGAGAAAATCAATAATTATAGCACAGAGTAAAACGCAGCACTCTGACTAGAAGTACACCAAAGGAATTTAAGAGCTCAAAGGAAGAGCACCGAAAAAGGGCACATAACTCCTCCATGCAGAGTACAAGAGCCCCCAAACTAAACTTGTACAATGATGCATAAAGTTCTTCTAAAAAGTTTCTACAGAGATTGTCAGGAGGAAGAGTAGGTAGCAACACAAAAATTACACTTTCCAGAACAACATCAGTTCCATACTTATTTCGTTTTACCCTCCAGTCCTCACAAAAATCTGGCATACAAACTTAAAAAAGGAATTTTACAGGATATGTATGAAACAAAAATGTTGAGTCCTTGGCTGGGTTTACTGCAGACCAATGAAAGAACTGTTTGTTAAAATTTCAGCCAGCGAGACTGCAAAGAAAAAAGTTTCAAGACTCAAAAATACAAATAATCATGCCCTCAAGTATTTGCCATTTTATGAAGGTGAAGGATTTACATCTGGCTTTATGAGAAAAAAAGACTACTTATGATTAAAATTACTTTGAGGCTAACCCTACCATTATAATTCTATGTTAAAACTTCTAATATCAAAAGAAAAAGCATATAAAGACTGACATAATTCATCCCTTAAAGACTATTATGTTTCCAATAGAAGATATTCCTGTGATAAGATTTTGTAATAATTTTAAGCTAAGCCTTTTAACAAAAAACACTAATATATATATAACAAATATAAACATACCTATATAACAATGAACATAAGATATGGAGTTGAAAAGTGTCAATATATAAAACTGAGTTACCAAAACTCTAAACAGACAGCATAAAATCACAGCCAGTAAGTATTTCTCACATTTGCCTTTATCACCCAAAGAGTTTAGCAAAATATATTTAGAAGGCAAACACTAACATTTGACTAAGGTTAAATATGAAATCTGAAAAAAAAAAATGACTAGCTCTCAGATTCAGAAAATAATTCAATGAGTTTTCAGTTTTTGAAGTCTAATAATTTTTCTAATACCATATCCAATAAACTACCAAACTTAAAACACATTACTTTTGGAAGTTACAGTGAAAGGGCAGTAAAATATTTGGTAATGATTTTTAACAAAAACACAGTAAGCTGAGCAATTTTTTAGTGGTTACTTTCATAGCTGTTGGATAGAGGGAATGGTAAACCTAAAGTAACAAATGTCTTCTGAAAACAAAAAAAAGTCAGGAACTTTTGAAAGTTGTCTCTATTAATAGACTGATTTCATTAGAAAAATCTGGAAAGGGCAAATGTACTTTTACAAGCAGCTAAAGTGTTTTTATGGAAGAGAGGTATTTACAAGCAGCTTATTAATAATAAAAGTGGTTTAACAGCAAAATTCTTTCTATAATCCTGTTTATTACATGCTAATCATTACATTGCATACCAATTCCTACACAATTATATTTCCCATTGAAAGCAAATGATGGCAGTATAGCAGTCATGAGGTTACTGTGGCATTTAGAGTAAACTTATCATTTACTGTATTAAACAGGATACTTCTATGGTGAAGTGGGGCATTATTGATACTTTGACCATGATAATAGGCATAAACTGGTACTGGACTTGGCAAACCAGGAAGAATAGCCATTCTTGTTTTAGAGAACACTATTTTAGTTAATAATGACATAGTTAGGCTTTAACTTAGTTTTACAAATAAAACTTGATGAAAGAGGGAATAGACATTAACATTTCCTTACCAATATCAATATATTTGGGATCCAGAGGTGTGCCAATAGAATTACAAAGAACTAGTACAAACTGTGAACAAATAAAACAAAGAGTATCAGAACACCTGCTTCTGTACAATAAAAGAAATAATGCTTAACATATCATGTTTATTTCTGTAAAATATCACAACTGTGAAATAACTGATAAAACTGTAGAGTACAAAGAATAGCAGACAAATATAATCTATAGCATTGAACATAAAGATATATGAAATAAAATTAAACCAAGGCTGATTTCTCAATTTAATGTAACTGTCATTTTTAAGAATCCACCTAAGAAACACAAGTACACTGCTACATTTCATTATTTATACTTCTAGAATTCCTGATCAGCTCTAACCTCAAAATTTATTTTTATCCTACAATCAGCTATATAAGAACTAATTTGTTACCGTTGCACCAAATGTTTCCATCTCGTTCTCCTCCTTTGAAGCAATATAAAAATGACATGTACACAATTAATTATCAATAATTAATATTCAGTAAAATAAGCATAATGCAAACTTTATACCATATTATTCTAAAGTGATAATTTCATTTTTCTACAGTCACTTTTTCCATCTCTTGTCCTAAGAATGCTATTTTACTTAGATATTCTCCCGATTGGAATAACAATTTCAAATAAACCAATTCTCTATGTACTATTTACATACAGACTTTCTTTTTTCAGCTTCCCAAGAAAAATTTCTTTAATTGCATGAATGTAAACTAAATGAACCCTTGTGCACTGTTGGTGGGAATGCACTCTGATGCTGCCGCTGTGAAAAACAGTATGGAGATTTCTCAAAAAGTTAAAAATAGAACCACACTATGATCCAGGAATCACATTCCTGGATAGTCACCCAAAAAATACAAAAATACTAATTCAAAGGGATACATGCACTCTTATGTGTACTGCAGCATTATTTACAATAGCCAAACTATGGAAGCAGCCCAAGTATCCATCAACTTATACACACACACACACACACACACACACACACACACAGGAATATTATTCAGCAATTAAAAAATTACATCTTGCCATTTGCAACAACATGGATGGAGCTAGAGAGTATAATGCTAAGCAAAATAAGTCAGACAAAGACAAATACCAAGATTTCACTCCTATGTGGAACTTAAGAAACAAAATAAATGAGCAAAGTAAAAAAAAAAAAAAGGCCAGAGAGAGAGATAAAAACCAAGAAACAGACTCTTAACTATAGGGAACAATCTGATGGTTACCAGAGGGAAAAGGGATGGGGATGGGGGAAACAGGTGACCGGAATTAAAGAGTACATATCACAATGAGCACTGAGTAATGTATAGAAGTGTTGAATCACTATACTGTACACCTGAAACTATCATAACACTGTATGTTAATAATACTGGAATTTATATAAAAATTTAATGTAAAAACATTTTTAATTTTTTAGAAAAGAAACTAAATGACAAAAATTATACTAAAATATACTTTTCCACTACTTAAAATAAGCTGATTTACTGCCACAAAATACCACAAATAACTTGTATTTGTTAATCCACATATCATCTACATGCTCACAGCTTAAAGAATGGGAGAGTTCCTACGATTTCTTACTGAAAACAGAAGTCCTCCCCTAACTTCCCATTTTCTCTCTCTGGAATAATGACTTTCAGTTCCTTTAACTCATCTTTTTGATATTACCTCCACAAACCTAAGTAACACGTTGATAATGCTATTTCTTGTTTTGTTCTATTTTGATCTGGAGCAGTATCTGACTTCCCACTATCATAGACAGGGGTGAAGCTCTCTTTCAGTCCCCTTCCAGCCTCCCATCACACAGGGGCACACTTCCACCCTCCAGCTTTCCACTTACAATTTTGTTAGCTCGGAATTTTAGGCATTAATATGGTTATCATACTTTAAAGGTTTTTTAATTAAAACACCCATTTAATTACAAAATTAATTTAAGAAGCATCATTTTGATTATGTAAATGCTATTCACAGCTGAGCTGTATGTCATGATATATTCTCAAGTGCATTTTGCTTTCCCTGTAGTTGATAATTGTCTTTCTTTTTTCTCTTTGCTTGGTTTCTCTATATTCATTACTAACTTAGGTCCCCAATTACATCCCAGTTAGTACATCTCCTCTCAAGGGTTCAACCACATTAAACGTTCTATTAATTTCATCTTGAGTTTCCTATGGACCCCTGTGACCCACTGTCATCTGCTGACGCCCTAGGCAGGCCACACACTGTCACCTGGCACCACTCTGCACCACTGCTGTCAGGCTACGCAGTGTCTTCCTCTTGGTCTGCTCCTCATTTTGGTAGGCTATATCCTGGAGTAAGAACTAAGATAAGAAAGCTTGGGAGGTAAGTTTTTGGTGACCTTGTACATCTAAAATTGTCTTTGTCCTGCCTTCATTTTGTCCTTTTTTCCACACAACAGAGAAAGCTTTCTTCATCCGCACTGGTCCAGAGAAAGGCAGGTATGCTGTTTAGTGTGCTGTTGCCTCGGTCTTCTGCCGGTTCTCTCTCCATCCATTTCCACCCATCCTGCTTCTTTTTCTCCTCAGCTGCTTTCCTCCTTTCCTCTCTGCCCAAGGTTTCAGGTACCTCCAGCGCTTGGCTCTGTAGGCCACGCGGCGCAGGAGGGCTGAGGAGCGGAGAGACCTGCACCAGCAGCACCATCTTGCCCGGAACCTTCACGTCGGAAGCACTGAGCAATGGGTCTCCTACCTGCATTTTAATTAGCAGTCTGCTTCAGATACAGAATTCAACACGGGAAATCACTTTCCCTCAAAATTTTGAAAGCAATTCTCCAAAGTATTGCTGTTGATAAGTTGGATGCCGTCATGATGCCTGACCGAATGACCTCTTTCTGAAAGCTTTATAGGATCTTCTTTTCATCCTGTGTTCTGAAATTTCACATGATGTGCCTTGATTTGGAAATATTTTTATTCACCGAGTTAGGCGCTTTCAATCTAGAGCCTGAAGGGAAATGTTCTTGAATATTTTCTTCAGGATTACTCTCCTCCTCCTTGTGCCTATTCACTGAACTTCCAGGGCTGGGCCTCTGATTTTCTTATCTGTTCATTCCTGTTTTCCATTTCCTTGTCTTTTTGCTTCACTTTATAAGAGTTTTCCTTCATTTTATCTTCTAACTCTTCTGCCAAATTTTTCATTGCTATTATCGGATTTCCAAAAACTTTTTCTATAGAATCCCTCCCTTGTTTTATGGATGTAGTATCTCTTCACATTTGAAATGATTCTTCTGAATTGTTCTTCTCCCTGCCTAGTCTCTGCTTCCTCCTAGTTCTTTTCTTCTTGTGTTTATGTGTGTGTGTGTGTGTTAAATGAGATGCTTTCCTCAAATGTCTGACAATCCTTGTCTATCTGCTTCTATTTCAGAGTATGACACTGGAAAGCTGCTTGTCATCTATTGGTTTATGGGTGAGGCTCATGACTCTGGTTTCAGAGTAAGGTGACAAGGCAGGGATATCCAGGTGGCTCAGTCGGTTGAGCATCCAACTTCAGCTCAGGTCATGATCTCACAGTATGTGAGTTCGACCCCTGTGTCGAGCTCTGTGCTGGGAGCCTGGAGCCTGCTTCAGATTCTACGTCTCCTTCTCTCTCTGCCCCTCCCCTACTTGTGCTCTGTCTCTCAAAACTAAATGTAAAAAAAAAAAAAAATTACAGGTCTTTTCTCTTGAACTGCTCAGATTCTCCAGACAAGACCCTTTATATGCCTTTTTAATTTTCTCCTTCCTGGATAATCTCTGGTACTTCTAAATTGTTTTTCCATTTGTTTCTTTCTCCTAGCAGGTACCATTAAGTCTTGTATCTCTTCAGGATTCAGGGATGAAAACTGGTTACTTCTTTGCTTTCTCCATTGATGATTTAGGATTCAGCTTTCTTAGGTCTGCTAAGGACTAATCCACCTACTCTTTAACCTCCAAAACTACGTTACCATTTCCTCTCCCTTTCTGGTCCCTATGGGCTTAGGACTTTCTGAAAAATATCTTTACTGTTATTTTAATAAATTTCAAGAGAGAATAGAGCCAAATGTGGCTGTTTAAATGGCCACCTTAAACCAAAAACTTTATGCTTTTTAATGGGATAAAATAATTTATAACACAGCAAAACATAATGATAATCCTTTTTTGAAAAAGGTATATGCTTCTGCAAATATTTAAATTGTTTTATACTTTTTAAAAGGCATTATTCATATTATTTATTTTACACTATGAAACATTGATTTTTAAAGCAATGTAACTCCAAATGAAAGTATACTTCTCGGGGCACCCAGGTGGCTCAGTCAGTTAAGTGTCCAACTTGGCTCAAGTCATGATCTCACGGTCTGTGGGTTCGAGCCTCACGTCGGGCTCTGTGCTGACAGCTCAGAGCCTGAAGCCTGCTTTGGATTCTGTGTCTCCCTCTCTCTCTCTGGCCCTCCCCCACTCGCTCTCTGTCTCTGTCTCTGAAAATAAAAAACTAAAGACATAAAAATTTTTAAAGTATACTTCTCGGGGCGCCTGGGTGGCTTAGTCGGTTAAGCGTCCGACTTTCGCTTAGGTCATGATCTCGCGGTTCGTGGGTTCGAGCCCCGCGTCAAGCTCTGTGCTGACTGCCAGCTCAGAGCCTGGAGCCTGTTTCAGAGTCTGTATCTCCCTCTCTCTCTGACCCTCCCCTGATCACGCTGTCTCTCTCTCTCTCTCCTAGAAATAAATAAAAATATTTAAAAAAAATTTAAAGTATACTTCTCAATGTCAAAACTACCCAAAATGTTATAACGATCATAGTTACATGATTTCTTGAGCATTTATATTAGACACCTGGATATTCATTTTTCCTCATGGAATTTTAACTTGGAAAAAGACTGTAGTATTTTAAATATATTTCAGAGACAAAAAGCTTCCATACCAAACTGGTCAATATGAAATGCTAATGCATTAGCTGACTGGGGGAAAAAAATAGAGTCAAAATGGAGTCACATAATTCTCCAAAACAGAGGTCTAGACAGACATGGTCAATATACCCAATACTTTGTTGTACCTGCCAGTACAAAGGCTATGCCTGAGAAAGAAGAGGTTAACCCATCTTAGCTTTAACATATGAAGAAACACCTACCTGAGGATGATTTTCATCAGCTTTGGTAGCCAAAATGCAGAAATCTCCACAGGTAGTAATAGAAATGAGACTCTTTACGTATTTAACATATTTCTCATTGTTTTTCGTATCCCAAAAGATAACACAATACTCTGGACGATCAGGTCTGGTATAAGCATACACTACAGTATTGGAGCAATAACCCCACTAGGAAGAAAGGAAGAAGCAAAGAGCCGGGACAGGAGGGAAGAAGGCAGGGAGAGAGAGAAAGAGGAAAAGAACATTTAACACTGGAACAAAACATCTTATTAGATACTGCAGATCTGTGGTTTTTTGGTGCTGAGAAAATACGTTCTTTAGGAATAGAAGACAGAAAGACTGAACATTCAGCTTAATACCTTTTCTCACTAAACTAATAAATCTAAGAGAAACAGTTATCAAGCAAAGGATATGCTGCAAAAATAAGTTTAGTTTAACTTTCCTCATTTCCATTTGTAAGAGTTAGGCTTCAGAGGTGAAAATCTCAGAGTTTTCAGTGGTCAGTAACAGCCACAGAGGGACAACAGAAGTGATCCCTGTCAAAGGCTTAACTTCTGGGCCCCCAGCCAAAATTCAGAAACAGATGCTCTGCCCTTTTTCCCCATCTACATTTTCTACATTTGTTTTTACCAGAGTAACATGTGCACATAGTTTAGAGTCAGAGAATTCTACATAGCTTATTTAAAACAAAAATAAAATGCAGACCCCACAGACTAATTTCCTCCCAGGGGAAGCTATTTGTAACTCTGAGCTTTGACTCTTTTGTTATTGACCTCCATATCACATATGTATTAATTATGGCTTATGGAACTTCTTTCTCTTGGGCTAACTCTCCCAATATATTCATAATGTAATTCTTAATAAATCAATATTCAGAGTTGCTATTACGACTATATTTACTATTCAAAATTAAGGCATGTTTACTTTTTATATGATAGGTTTAAAAATAAGCTTTTTACTTTAAAATAATTTTAGATTTGCACAAAAGCCACAAGGATAATACAGAATTCCCTATACTCCTCTCCATTTCCCGCTGCTGTGAGTACCTTACATTGCTGCCTGTGGTACGTTCATCACAACTAAGAAACCAGCACTGATCCAGTACTATTAACTAAATTCCACACCTTATTTAGCTTTCATTAGTTTTTCTCCAATGTTCTTTTTCTACCTCAGAATCCTACTTGGGATACATTATGTTTAGTCATCATGTCTCCTTAGGCTCCCCTGGTCTGAGATGATTTCTCAGTCTTTCCTCGTTTTTAATGACCTAGACTTTTTGAGGAGTACTAGTCAGGTATTTTGCAGAATGGCTTTCAATTTGGGTTTGTTTTTCTCCTCCTTTTGTGTTTGAGCACTTCCTTACTTTCTGCCCCTATCAGAGGCTCTGGGTCATCTTGCATTGTTCCTACCCTAGTCCTCCAAACAGCTCTCAAGGCGCTCTGCCTTCTAAAAAATAAAGTAAGTTTTTCATAACAAATAGTCTTAGTATTCTGCAGATCAATCAATCTCATACTTCCACATTTGTTTTGGGTCAAACGTTAAATTTAAGATAAAATACTGATTAGTATTATGCTGCTTACTCTCATTTTCCCCTTCCATCCATCCTCTGCCCTTCTTTACCCTACTCTATGCCCTGGAAACTAACTTCTGTGAACTCCATCACGTGGGCTACCTTGCCTTCTGGTTTCTAGTTAAGGTCTGGCCAATAGAAGGCACCAGCAGGTGGAGAGATGGCTGAAGCATTCCCTCCTCGAAGCCGTCTCTGTCCAGCCATTCGGCAGAAGCTGCTCCTGCAGGACAGCCTCTCTTGTGTAGGCACAGCCCCGGTGGGCTCCAGAAACAATAATACTTCCTTCTCTTGGCCACCATTGCTAATACCTGCATGCTTGCCCTGCCATCTCTCACTGAACCTTTTAACCTTGCCCACACCTCTGTAATAAACCCTTCATCAATCTCTCTTCAATTATTCTTCTGAGTGTGCCATCTGTTTCCTGCTGAGACCTTGACCATTGGGAGTATTTTATTCATTATATATAGTATTCTAGAAAAGCTTTCTGGTTCTAAAGTCTTCACACTAAAAACACCTCCTTTCATCTGGTTTCTAAAATAAAGTGGCTGTGAATATAGGCAAGAAACATATATTATACTTCGAGCTTTAATAAATCTATTTAGTAAAAACAGCTTTTTATTTATTTTATTTATTTATTTATTTTATAACTACTCACAACACTCACCTTATAATCAGGTCGAATGTTTGCAAAATATATAAAAGAATCAACAGCTAGTGCAATTTTCAGTCCTCCTCCTTCCCAAGATAGTGCAGACATCTGCTTTCCAGGAACTTTCAAAGTACCCAAATGCTGAAAAAATAAGTAAAGTTAACCTAAAGTATCACAATTAAATAAAATATAAATTACCACCAGTCACTTCATAGAGATTAAAAGTGGAATAAAAATTATTTTGTGAAAGGTTACTACCCATTTCAAAATCATTTTCCTTGATTTTTTTATAATGGAAAACATATATTCGATAGGAGAAATTCATGAACAGTAGCCAAAGAATTCAGTATCAAATTTCATCAAATCTAAGATTTGAAATCCAGAGATTTAAATATGCATCTTTACTTTTATGTACAACTCAGGAAAGAAAAAGATACATTGCTAATTAAAATAGGAACTCTGACTGTCAGATACATCCCAATTTTGGAGTTGTAAAAAAACCCTGAGCTTCCTGAGGGCACCTGGCTGGCTCAGTCAGTGAAGCATGCGGCTCTTGATCTCAGGGTTGTGCTTCGAGCCCCACATTGGGTGTAGAGATACTTAAAAATATTTTTTAAAAAACTGTGCTGCTTGGAATGAATGAATTATTGTGGTAGTAAATGCATCCTTAAGGCTGGTCTCTCTTCCACCCCCACAGCAGATCGGTCAGCAGTCCTACGCTTTCACTCCCATCCACCCTCCCCTGCCATGGGCTCTCTTCCTGAGTGAATGACAGCAATGGTCTAACTCTGATTTTTTCTTCTCGTCTCTTTCCCATTCCCAGCCTCCACTTCCCCCCAAATTCAATCTTCATTCTACTGTCAAAATTACCTTTCTGGGACACAAATCCAATCATGTCCCACCCTGCTTTAAAAAAAAATGTTTAATAATTTTTAAAAAATCAATAGCTTCCCACCATCACATTCTTTAGCAGGGTATACAATGCCTCTTCCCATCTGGCCCAAAACTGCTCTCTTGGGCTCAGTACCCCACTATTTAGACATAATTCTTGTGTTCTCACTCATGAGAGGACTACTATGCCTCCAGACTTTTGGCCCAGATAAGATCTCTTCTGCCTTAAATCTTCCTTTCCTCTCCCTGCACCTCCCCGTCCTTACTCTCCCCTGCCCTACTGGAGCATTGCTCTCCATCCTCCCAGACACAACCTTAATGTTGCTTCCTGCCTTCTCCCTCCTTCTATGGGTCCAGAGAATTCAGAGAGTGAGCAACCTGAGAGCCCTGACTTCATCATATTCACATCTATGTTCACATCTATGTCCCTATCCTTTAGTGGACAGCTTGGTGAACAGGTACTCAATAAATATATATTAAGTAAATAAATGTCTTATGCATTTAAATTAAGGTCTTCAAATATGACAACATGCTAGGTACTTTTAATTACAACCATACCAAACCACCTTACAGTTTTCAATTTAACACAGCACATTTTATGGCTAAATTAACAAGCGAATAAATACAAAGATATTTTCATGCGGCAATAAAAAGAAAATATTTGAAATCTATGGTTTTTTGACAGACCCAAGAAATTTAATAAATTGCACTGGTATCCATTGTTCTTCAGCAGATATGTTCGAAAGCCAAACTTAACGTATTAAACTCCATTTTGCCAGGAAAACTGATAGGGTTAAAATGTTTTAATCTAGAAAGGTCCACTCTATCTGTCCTGCTGCCTGTAGGAAACCAAGGGAGCAAGCAGACTCTTCCGGTAGAACTCTCTGTACCGCCAGGCCGCACTGGAAGCATAAGGCCATCTCCCGACTACAAACCACCCAAGCGATGGCAGCAGCAAGGAGAGAAAACCCACCTGTAGTAAGCGTTCACTAAGCACTATGCTGGGCATTTTCTCATTGTTACCTCCTTTAATTTTTTTAAAAATTTTTAATGTTTTTATTTATTTTTGAGAGAAAGAGAGAGAGAAAGACAGCACAAGCAGAGAAGGGGCAGAGAGAGAGGGAGACACAAAATCCAAAGCAGGCTCGAGGCTCTGAGCTATCAGCACAGAACATGACGTGGGGCTAGAACCCATGAATCGTGAGATCATGACCTGAGCCGAAGTAAGACCCGACTGAGCCTCTCATTGTTACCTCCTTTAAGTTTTTGCAACACTGCCATGACATATTACCTTTATTTCAGAACATAAGTAAATTGAGTCTCAGAGGTTAAATAAGTTCTCTAGGTGAAACTACACTGTGGAAATGGAATTCAAAGCCAAAGCCAGGTCAACCTGACTATAAATCACATGCTCTATTAGCTCCTTCCATGGCTGAGACCACAGTATAAAGACCACAAGACTGGCCTTCAGAATCAAAAAAAATTCTTCCTTGAGGTTTCCTTAAGTTTAAATCTTTAGATAACCTCCTTCCAAGTGATCTTAATAACATAGATCCAAAATAAGTCCTCCCTAGATTCACTCATTCAAAAAAATACTAAGTGACTAAAATACCCTGAGGAACCATGCTAGATACTTTTAATTACAACCATACCAAACCAACTTAACTTTTCAATTTAACACATAGCACACTGTTTTTGCAAGATAAAACAAACAGGTCTTACGATCCATGTTTTTCTACTTAAAGGCTGAACTAACAAAAATACACAGATAAAACAATATAACAATAAGCCAATGTGACAAAAATAAGCAATAAAGAACATGAATTAAGAAAGAGGCTACAACCATTGAAAGAACTGGAATTCAGATTTTTAATAGTTAGGAACCTTGAGAACTATACTTCCTGTTTGCCTTAGCTTTTTTTCTTTTTTTTTTTTAATGTTTTATTTATTTCTGAAAGAGAGAGAGAGACAGCATGAGCAGGGGAGGGTTAGAGAAATGCAGAATCTGAAACTGGCCCCAGGTTCTGAGCTAGCTGTCAGCACAGAGCCCGACGCGGGGCTCAAACCCACTAACCATGAGATCATGACCTGAGCCGAAGTCGGATGCTCAACTGACTGAGCCACCCAGGCGCCCCTGCCTTAGCTTTCAACATTTACCAGAAATATTATCAGCTAGCAATGTACAGAGTACCTAACCTCTGTATCACACTCTACTGGGTATTTTGACATATTGATACAAAAGCATGAGCTGACATCATTTCTTACTCTGACAGAAATTATTAAATAATTATTAAAATATATTTAAAATATTAAATAAACTGGGGAAAATAAATAAATAAAATATTAAAACAACAGGGGAACGCTTTTGTAAAACAAAAACACTTATCACTGAAGTCTATGATGAATTTATAAAATCCAAAAGAGACTAAATGGAGTCCAGAGTTTAAAAATAAAACAGGTAAAAAGTTATTAAGCTTAGTTACTATTAAGTTTTCATTTCCTAAATTCTTTAAAATTCACAATATATTAATTCTCCTATTTGATATTTCTCACTACGACTTCAACAAAATTCTCCTTAAAAATTAAATTAATTAATAATACTACTGAGAAGGATAACACATACATTTATGAAAACAATGCTTGTATTTTAATGTAGCATCACCTAAGATTAGTTATTATGATAGATTTTCTTAAAATAGTTGATTATTGTACAACAAGTTAAAACTGTTAGAAGTTCAAGGTAAGGAGAAATGATATGGTTGTTTGATATCTATGTATGTTTAATACAACACATTAAAAATCCAAAATATTAATCTGAAACAACTAAATTACATTAAAAACTCAAGTAACAGCTGGGAAAAGATATACGCATTCAGATCACAGAAAAATACTCTAAATAGGTACTGCATAGTGATTTCTTATGTGAAACAGCTGGTTTTCTAAATGTACAGAGTATAAACTAAATTCCATGATAAAATACAACTATGAAGACTTATAAGTGAGAATATTATTTAAAGACAAGATGCCTGACAGTTCATCATTTTTACTCAAAATGTCTCTTTTCAAAAATGTGACAAGTTTATACCTCTTCCCCCATTCTTTTTTCCCCTATCTCACTCACTACACATTTAAATGGAAAGAAAAAAAGACATTTACCTCACCAAATGGAGTGTAAAACTGCACAGTGTTTACATCTTTGTCCTGAGTGACGACCTTCTGGGAGCCTGCAACAGCTAACACGCTGCCAGTGTGGTTCCACTGGATACTTACGACAAACATGCCAGTATCAATTAAAACGGGATCTACTCAAACAGAAAAAAATGAAGTCACTGTGGTGAAATACTTAGCCTTAAGAACTATATAAAGAACAATTTTAAATTACTTTTTAAATTCTCCACATGAAAGGCAGGAAGGCAGGAAGGCAAGAAAGAAGGGAAGGAAGGAAGGAAGGAAGGAAGGAAGATTGATTGATTACATACTCTGGTCATTCTCATGTCTCATGATTTGGCACCTCCCATTGTCAAAACAAATAGCAAGGCAGGGGCAGTCTGGCTCCACATAGCCTTCCGCGCCATGGTACCAATGAATGCCAGCAATACTGATTGCTCCAGTGACATTCACCAAACAATTCAGTTTCATTTTCATCTAAACAAAACCAGTTAAATTAATATTTCATATAGTAAAACAGATCCACATAGACTATTACAGAAAAAACACTGAAAATGAGATTTAAAAATCTGGTTTCAGATGCAAGCTCCATCACTTATGGGTTTACCAGCCCTATGGACAAACCATCTCAAGCAGAGTTTCAGTTTTCTCTATTTACAAAATAAGGATTAAAAAAACAACAACAGCAACTCACAGATAATTTATGAGACTCAAATGACAGGAAGTATACAAAAGAATGTCAAAAACAGTAGTGTCATGGAAAACTCGGCTATTATCACTTAACACTGGTAAGTGCATTTGTATAATGTCCTCAGCCTCACTACAAACAAAACTGCCAGATAAGTAACATCAGAGATCTAACATAGCTCAAGCTCACAAAGCCAGAGTTTTCCTTGAGATCATGCTTATCTGAGCCCATTCTATTTTGCCTTCTTTCCAGAACCTAATTTTTGTGTCTTACTGTTTAAGTCTTCCATTCTTTTTACAAACAACCTTGAGTAGCTTGCTACAAAAATATCATTGGAAAAAATATATTGTTGGTATCTCATGTAAACTTTGGCTCTGCTATTAAGACACACAGATTTGAGGTGCCTATCTGGTGCTCCGTTAGTTAAGCATCGGACTGTAGATTTTGGCTCAGGTCGTGATCTCACAGTTCATGGGATGGAGCCCTGCGTTGGGCTCCACACTGACAACGCAGAGCCTGCTTGGGATTCCCTCTCTCCCTCTCTCTCTGTCCCTCCCCTGCTTGTGTTCTCTTTCAAGATAAATAAATAAACTTAAAAAAAAAAAACACACAAAGATTAAATTTTATATTATCTGACTCATTATCCTTCAGCTTCAATACACTGAACTCTGTCCTTCCCAGTTACCAGGAATTCAGAACTAAAAGCATTAATTTACCTTGAAGTGACCCAGTTTTTTTTAACTAAAAAAAATCTAAACAATCGGGAAAAAAACATGAATGGAAAACTTTCTTGATTACACAAACCATCATAATAAATAAATGCAAATATACATACATGAATAATATATGAAATAACCATATAAAACTGCGTAACTAAAAGTAACAAATATATATATACTTACTATAAAATTCCCTTGATTATCATAAATGTGTATTTCTCCATTTGCCATTCCAAAAAGTAGGATTTTACTATCTGCAGACCATGCTACATGGCATAACTGTATACCCTTCAAGTCTTTTCCCCAAATGCGATTCCCTAAAATAAAACATAAAACATAATTATTTTATTAAAAGTTCAAGGACATGATTCTCCAACAATTGCTCTAAAACTCTGTGTTTCCCTAGAGCTCTCACATTCTTCACAAAACCATGTGTTTGTTCGATTTATTCAGTCAATAAATATTTGCTGAGCACCTACTATGTACCAAACACCCTACTAAGTATTTGAAATAGCAGCTGTTTCCAGCTTTCTCTCTTCTCTTGAAAACTCTGACCCAAAACCTCACTTCCAATTAGCAGATAAATTCATCTTCAACTTTGTTTAAAAAAAAAAGAAGAAGAAAATCAAAGCTTTCAAAAAAGAAATGCCTCATTCCCACTTTCAAACATTCAGAACATTAAGTAAATTTACACCGACTCTTTCTGCTGAGCCCCGCAGTACAAAGAAAGACTTTTGTCCCCAACCAAACACCCATCCGGGGCTAATCAATCCCTCCACCTATTTTCTGGTCTAAGTCCTTCCTAGCTTTGTAAAGATTATTATCTACTGATATATTATATATGGATTATAATCTACTGATTATTCACATTTTCTCTTCCTCTTTAAACTCTTCTCTCCAGGCCCTTTCTTAAAAGTATTTAAACATACTCAGATCTATTCTTCTTCAAAACAACCACCTCAAATAAAAACAAAACAAAGAACACCTCCCTCGACCCCAAGTTCCCCTCTAGCCACCACCCTATTTCCACCATTCCTCTACCAGCCATGCTTCTTAAAAGACTTTATGCCCACAGTTACCACTTCCTTCCCTCCCATTCAACCCTCAGCCCAGCCTGATCTGACTTCTGCCCCACACCTGCATTGAAATGGCCTTCATGAGGTCACTAATAACCCGTTGCTTTTCTTTGTCTTTTGGGGGTTTTTTAGCCACCCCTTCCTTCCTTCTTGGTTCCTGTGAATCTGTTTACTCTTTTATCTCCAATGCTTGTACTTCAGTATCCTTGACAAAATTCTCTTCTGCCAACCCATTAAATGTTGCAGGTTCTTATTCCACAGATGGCCCAGTCTTTCATCTATTCCAATGGTTTAAATTACCATCTACATGCTGCTGATTACCAAAATTTTGACTCCAGCCCAGATGTTTCTGAGCCACAAATGTATATATCTAACGATGGCCTAACAGATTTACTTGGCTGTCCCACTGCATGACAAAACCAACATGTGCAAAACTGAAATCTTCCCTCAAAACCAGTCTTTCTCACACATTCCTCATTTCAATGGCATCACCATCCACCCAGCTGTCAAAGTTAAAAACCTGGCTATTCCTCTAGACACTCCTATCCCCTCATCCCCAAACTGATCAATAATGAGGCCCTATCTCTTCTGCCTCCAAAGTATCTCCAGCATATATCCACTTACTTCCATCCTCTTTGTCATCACCCTGGTTCAGATATCGTCCACCATCACCTCTCACCTGAATTACCATAACAATTTCCTCATTGGTACACCTGCCCCTATCCTTCTTTCCTTTACCTGCAGTCACAGAGATGCTTCCAAAGAACAAATCTGATCACCTTGCTCCCATTCTTAAAATCTTTCATTGGCTTCCCAATGCCATTGGGAAACTTCTTATATAACTTATATAACTTACAATCTGCATTATCTGTCTTTGCTAATGTCTCTAATTTCATCACATACAACTCCTCTCCTTTTAGTATTATACTATACTGACTCTCAATTTTTTTTTTTCAAAATTTACCCTGTGGACCTCCTCAAGTGCTATTTCTTAGGCACAGGACATTCTACAAACCCACCTTCCTGGTGATTAATGCCTCAGAGACATCACTTCCCCAGGATGCCTTCCCTGATCCCTCCAAGTCTGGCTTAGATACTTCTGCTACATGTTGCTGTATTTCCCTGTCTCAGCACTTATCACATGACACTGTAACTGCTTGGTTATTAATCCACCTCTCCTGCTCTAGATCTGAAATACTTATCATACCTAGTACCTAGAACTTATAGCTGTGACTTAATGAGCTCTCAGAAACATCTGTGGAATAAATGAAGTTACAACAGGAAAAAAATGGAAAAATGAAAATCATTTTGAAAGAAATTATTTCTCTACAGAGAAAATTTCACATTAAAACAAAGGTACAGGCTCTCAGAAGCCCCAGTGTTATCTATGAATTAAAATTTGAGAGAGAGAGACATAGTTTTAAAGCTACGAAACACATGTAACAATAACAGACTCAGCTCTATTAAAAAATGACCAGATGATCATTTTGCAACATATAAAAATATCAGATGATTATGGTGTATACCTAAAACTAATGTTTTATGTCATTCATAGTCAATAGTTCAATTTTTAAAAAAATAACCATAGATTGTTATATCTCTATATAGTTGAAAGTAAATCTATGTATTTATAATACAATCTAATACATACAAAATAAGTTACATAACTAGGCAGACATTTTTAAAATAATCATGAAAAATTAATTTACTTTTTTTTCAGTGTCACTGTAGGAAATTTTTTAAAAATAGAATTTTTACTTGGGATACCTGGGTGGCTCAGTCAGCTAAGTATCTTGTTTCTTGAATGCAATCAAATTGTATATCATCTGTTTTCTCTTTTTGTGTTTTTTTGTCAAAAGACTAACATATGATAATTAATTAAACCTCTAAAGATAAAAATGCCAGCCAAAATCTTGATCTGAGTTCTGTGTGCAACAAAGCATTACCATCCACGGAACCAACTATCACAGCCCCGTCTTCATACACAATGCAGATCTTCTGTCCGTCAGCATTCCAGCTCATACTTCGAACCACTGATTTATTTCTATTGTTGATCATCTCCTCATACCAAGAGCCTATTTGCACATACACACACACACAAAAATGACAAGTCAAAACTTTCACATTAAAGTTGAAAACATCCCACAAAATACACTGTGGGATAAATGAGTGCAAAATTTTCTACAACACGAGGCGTTAAATAATAAAACCTTCAAATTCAACATAAAATAAAAAATTAGCTGAGACCTTGACCAACAATTGTTTCAAAGATTATCACAGAAAACACAATAAATGCCCATCTTTTCTCTCCTTCCTTCTTTCTGTCCATTAAAAAATAAAACTTTATTTGCTTTTGAAGGGCCAAAACAACTGACTTTTCTCAAAGCCTAACTTTTCCCACTTTAAAAACTTCAGATAATAACCAAAGAAAAAACAAAATAACCACAATAATTTTATATGTACGCATAAACTCTCCAGTGATTAATTACAAGTACATTATATATCAGCACATTAGGTAAAAACTCTAAGCCTGCTTGAGAAAAATTTTCAACAGTTCAAATCACTGTGGTGATTTCACATCACTAATGCTGAAAGACAAAACATTCTTGTATACAGGACTGGGGTGACAGGTCTCAAATGCGAGGCAGAACAGAAGGCTATTTTGTTTTGTTTTTGTGTTTTACCACCTTTTGGTATCAGGAACTCTGGCCTGCAGCCAAGCAAAAAACCACGTCATTTGGATGAACTAGTCGAGCAGGGCATTATCAGAGCCTGGACTGAGGACCTGAGAAGACCCAGCGTGGAAAAAGACAGCTTACCCTAAGCTCCTATACTCTCACCTTCCACTCCCTACACGCACATATACACATATAAACTTTGAGAAACAGAAACAAACTCAGGTACCACAGCATATTTTTTAATTAAGAATTTTTAAATGGTACACCCTGAATGTTTTCAAAACACCACACATGAACTAAGGTACCCTCTCATTTAAAGATGAGACCCCAAGAGATCATATATTGTGAGTTATTTTTCTGATAGTAGCGATGTGCCTAAATTAATCCTTCTCTCGCTCTGTCTTGTAGGCAAAATGCACAAATCATGAGCCAGTAGAACAGAGATAAAATCTGTATCCCTGAAAGAAAAGGATGCTAATGACTTAATAAGGGGAATGAATTATTTATTGTCTCTGACTTCTTAATGTTCTTATGTACTGGACCAACTCTAGCCACTGATCACACAGAAAATAACTCTTATTGGAAACCTGGAGAAAAAAAGAGCTATCTCAAGTACAAACTATCCAGCTAGGACCTAAATTCATTTTGGAGATAACCAACAGTCACCTAATTCACTTTCTTCATGCAAGGTCACAGTTCAAAAAAAAAAAAAAAAACAACCAAAAACATGTTAAAAGAAAAAGGAGGCAGCAATAAATCCAGAATTATTACCCCTGTGAGGTCAGGGTGAATTCCTGTTGCTGGTTAAAAGGAGTCTATTTCAAATATACTGTTTCCTCCATTCAAATACTGTAATCCAGTCTCCAATCTGTGAAAGGTTACATAAACTCTCCTAGCGTACCTTTATATAACATCCAAACAATGATAAGCCCATTTTGATCACTGGTAGTCAACTTCTGATATTGTTCATTCCATGTTACAACTTGAACCGAACCTAAAAACAATTTAGAGGCTTAAAAAAGGCTATAATTAATTTCAAATTTGTATTCTTATAATAAACACCAACAGCATGTTAAAATCAATATGGGCTCCTGTGCAACTAACCAGGATTTAATATCATTCCAAAATATTCACAGGATGTGGTCACTATCATCACTCATTTTCTACAACAATGAGTGATACTAGTTTTTATGTTTGTTCCTACTTCAGGCCAGCAAAGGCACCTATAATGGTCAAATACAAAAGCTGCCGTATATCTGATGAAAGAACAAATGTAAGTTAATATTTACCCAACTGGACTGATTCCCAAGGATTATAATGCCCAAAGGACAACATACTAAGTACTTAGGGTTTTTTTCAGGGGTGTAGGGGGTTGTCTGTGGTTGATATATGCCCTAACTTCTCTTTTTCCCTCCTCTTGTTTTCCATTCTACTAGTAACACACTCTTGAGCGTATCTTAAGCCTCTGAGCTATATGAATAACTGATTATTTTAGTTTTTTTAATCTCTAAATACTTTGGTGTATATTTCCTAAGAAGACATTCTCTTTCATAACCATATTACAAATTAGGAAATTTAACACTGATATAATATTATCCAATCCCAGTCCACATTCAAATTTTATCAATTGTCCAAATATTGTCCTTTATAGATACTTGTTTTTCTCATTCCAAGATCTAGGATTATAGAGTGTATTCAGTTGTCATGTCTTTTTAGTCTACTTTAATCTGGAAACATGAGACAGATTCTAAAAAAGGATTATATCCTGTCCATAGACAGAGAGCAGCATTTTTAGCATACAAAAGAATAACTACTTTGTTTTAAATTTACTGAAGATGTTGTTTAATCATGTAAAAGTTGTTGAAGGACTCTAGACTCAACTAATTAACAGAAATGATTACTCTAAATATTATCATTGTTAAAAACGATATCATTTCTGCAATAAGTAGATGGTTTCCAAATGTCTAAAGATAAGACTATTCAAATAGGATTTTAAAAGTTACATGACTCACCACTATGACCTTCAAGGTTCTGATTCATAGAAAGGTTACTAGGGGCTGCAAGACCTCTCAGTTTTGCATCATCTAGAAAAAAAATCATGGCAAATGCATTAAGGTAACAAATTATATGACTTTAACATTTCTTGCTTATTTTGAAAGGGGTTACTATTCCTGGATGATCTTAGAAAAAAAATTTTTTTAGGTATGCCTATTCTGATCTATTTTTCTCATGATGGAAACATGGACAGTAATATGTACTCCCTTGTGGAGATATTATTCTGACAAAATGTATTTTAAAAACATTGTTTACCCAGTAAATGAAATATACGAGCAATTATTATTACTACTTATTCCTTCCCAGAAGATCAAAAACAGAAATATTTATGACATATAGAATAAGACCTCTAAAACATAAGAGGGCTCAGAAAGCAAAGACTTTGGAAACTGGTTTTTACTACATTTTGCAGAATCTTATATTCATTCATTCATTCAATGAATGTCTACATTGTGCTATGCACTGAGGAAGCTTCTGAATATAAAATGATAAAATAGTTAAGGCCTCTCCCCTAAGAGAGCTTGTAGTCTACTGAAGGGACAGATATTAAACACACCCTCACCCATATATATATATATGCATATATGTAAATATATATGCATATATGTAAAGGCATAAGTTGAGAAAGTAAGGGCATAAGAAGAGGTAGTAACAGAGGGAGACTGATTTAGATTGGAGGAAGAGAGAGCCAAGAAAGGCTTTCTGGAGAAACGAGGAGGGGGAGTCCAGGCTCAGAAATAGCAACTGCAGAGACCCCAGGGGTCAAGTGTAGAGCCTCTGAATCCAAAATGTAATTTAGTTCAGCCCTTTATCTTACAGAAGAGTGAACTAAAGCCCAAGACGTGCACCAACTTGCTGAAAAGTCATTCAGTATGGCAGAGCTGAGGTTTCAATTCCAATCTCCCTATCTCCATCTCCAATTTAGACTGGGGACTGGCTAGGTCTCCATTCTACAGCACTAGGCATGCTAAGGAAAGGTGAAACTGTTTGCTAGGATTCCAGAGGACTAATAAAAGAGAAATCAAGCTGTAAACACAAGAAACTTATAAACACAAATGTTTTCAAAAATCTCATTTTCTATCCTCGGGAACCAGATGAATAATTATTAACATATCTGATAAGCAGAAAGGATGAGACCAGCCTGCAAATGTGACAAAATGTGAGATTCTGTGACCTTCCTAAAATGCAAATTGTCATCATTTTTATTAGACTCTAAATAATAGAGCAAAATAAACAGACCTAGCACAAGGCAATATAGTGACTTAGTTTTCATTCTTCATTCTTTCTCATTTTCCATCAATAACTCAGGTAAAAGTCATTTGATATTTACATTCGTTATTGTCTGAACTTTACTGCAAATAAAATACTCTATAAAAACAGCACTAAATGTTTGGAGTTTTGCTTGTTTTTCATTTTAAAAGAATGACAATTGCATAGTGACAAATGCCAAGAGCAAATCTCGCTAAACAAATGATAACTACGCAATTTTCCATCCAGCTCAAACATTTGGGCTTGCATTCATTTACCTGTCTGTGTCTCTAATTTCAAAACTTTCAGTAATCCATCTTCACCGCCACATGCTATGAATCCTTGGTCTTTGTTCCAAGATACACATTTCAGCTTGACATTATTGGGAATGGCGACCTGAAAATCAACCGCAAGCATTCTCACAGCTTTTCATGAAGGAGTTGGAAGGTGGGTTACAGATGAAGGTTAAAGAAAATCCCCTCAGAAAGAAAAAAACGGTCAGCCTTCCAGAGAACGTACTGTTAGGAAAATGGTCCCGTACCATTTTCGAAAGGGAGGGGGGAGTGCACACGAGAGAAGAGCACTGACTGCAGAGGAACCCAATGGGAGAGTCACCTGATGAAATTTTAAAGGAAGGAAGGAAGCCGGGAAGACAGGTATAAATCCATACCATCGATCCATATTCCCTTTCCACACATAACACTTAGGATACCCTTTGGTTATTACTTTTGTCTCGCCCGCCAGCCCATGACAATCCAATGAATCTAGGTCACCTGGATCAACAGGTGGAGAAGGAACGAGACGGGGGCACGCAGTGATCTGTCCTGCTGGGGTCCCCAAAAAAACTCAGCAGGGGCAGGAATGGGAGAGAGTCGTGCGAGAGGGCTGTTGGCTCCGCCGAGAATCATCCGGGATTCGGGACCCCGCAGGAGGGGGTACGATGCTGGACGAGGCAGGGCGGTGGGAGGCGGGAAGGCGAAGGATGCGGGACAGGATGCGGGATTCGCCTACAGGACGCGAGAACGGAGGAGGGGCTAGGACGCCAGCGGGAAAACTCACTTTCTTGCTCAGGTAAAAGAACATCCTGGGAACCCCGAGAGGACGAACGCAGCCGTCCAGGCCCGCCAAAGGAAACCTTTTTCTAAGTCTCCAGTCGCGAGGATCAGCAGCTCTTGGTGGCGCCTGTCGCCCTGGCAACCGCCGCCGCCCAGGCGCATCCGGGGCGCTGAGGGACACTTCCGGCGGCGGCGGCGCACCGCCGGGCCTCTTGCGCCTGCGCGGACGTCGGGGTTTTGGAGGAGCTGCGGTCGCGGGACGGAGCTTGTGGTTGGGGCCGGTTGCTTTGTTTCTGGGTCATTTTGCTGTACGCCTGGGGGCCAGGTCGGTGACCCTCAGCGCCCTGCCACCACCTCAGCTGTCTTTTTTACGACCGGCTCGGAAGACAGGCCAAACCTCAGAAGGTCGCAGTGGAACTTGCCTGGGGTGTTAAAATCAGCTCAGAACTAAGGGCTCCTGAGGTCACAGTGATTGGGTACTTTGTAAGCCCCAAAGTCCCAGCATTGTGGAAAGTCACTTACTGTGTTTGGTGGGCTGGCGCCGTCAGCCCAAAGAAAGCGCCAACGTGCGTTTTTGGTGTCTGTAACCCTTCCCTTAGGCCTTTGGGGATTGGAGAACCCTCTGGCGCAATTTCGGGGTAGGAGATTGTGTTTATTCTGTTTTAGAACTTTTTAACAGTTTATTTAAACTGTTACTGCAACCCAATGGTACATGTAAGGGAATATGTATGAGCTTTGGGCCACTGCGGCCTATAATTGCCATTCGAGCATAGCCTTGTGTTTTTGAATAATTAAGGTTGGTGTTTGATCTCTGGCCTGAGATCGACTGTACTGTATTCTCTTCTTTTTCTACCTTAATTCTTTCTTCAATTCTCCCGTGTCCTTTTTGAATGCTTGGGAGGGTTACAAAGCACAGCAATTTGGGCACAGGCTAGAAACTCCCATGAAATTACTTAGTCTAACCCATTTTTAAAATTTATTTCCGATTTTCCCTTTTACCATATTCTGCGGCCACTGCTGTTGAGTTATATAATCTAGAATGTACCTTATGCAGCAGCTAATTTCCCCAACTACTCTTGCCCAATTTCAGGCAAATAATGTTCAGATCCTTTGAAGGGAGTCTGTTGCCTCACCCAGCACATTCAAGAATTGACAGTGGTGCTAGTGTCTTGCCTATCCAATCTAAATCCCAGCTAAAATTAGATTTTCCTTGGATACTGAAATGACTACTACAGTGCCCCCATTCTAAGCAAGTCCATATGCATTCTGTCTCCAAGGCTTTTTTATACATCCCCTGATCTTCCTATCCTCTCGGCCAATTGTGCCTAGCCAAATGTACTAATCAGGTCTCCCTGAGAAGTTCTTTCCAAACTTAGTCCCCATCCCATTCAGATAGTATATTTGCTTTCAAATGTGTGTATCTGTTTTTTCAGCGACAAGCTAAATTCTGAAGATACGTTGGCATCTGTGCGCAAGCTCCCTATACTGGCCTCATGAAACAAATCAGAACCTTCTAAACCAGGGGAGTCCAGTCAACTGGTCAAGTTTAAGAGATGATTAGTTGAAAGTAGTTGTTGATGGTCACACTCTTGAAAAATCATCTCTCGGGACGCCTGGGTGGCTCAGTCGGTTAAGTGTCCGACTTCGGCTCAGATCATGATCTCATGGTTCGTGGGTTTGAGCCCTGCGTCTGGCTCTGTGCTGACAGCTCAGAGCCTGGAGCCTGCTTCAGATTCTATATCTCCCTCTGTCTCTCACCCTCTCCTGTTCATGCTGTCTCTCTCTCTCAGAAATAAATAAAAACATTTAAAATTTTTTTAAAAAAAGAAAAATCATCTCTTTAAATACTTTCCCTAGTGTTTGCACATGACTTCTCATTTATTCCTTATATAGCACCATTTCTCTATGATATATTAATAGATATTATGGATTCTGTGTTGAAATAAGTTTGGAAAATAATACTGCTCTAAGTCATCTCCTTTCAAAAATGTTGAGAAATAACTATGTTTCATATAATATATACTGCCTTGATGTATTTATCTTTCATTTCTACCTTTTAAGTTTCTGTTTTAGATTTTTGACTGATTTTGGGCTTACATCTGTAGGTTATACTTAATTCTCAGGTGTTCATGTTAATGTACCTTCATTATTTTATTCAAATTTCAATAATTTTGTTTTATTCCCTCTCCCATAACTTTCTCAGTTAAAGCCTATTTAACCTAAACTTAGATTTTTAACCTTAAAAGTTATGAGATTAAATTATAGGAAGAGTTACAACATTGTGTCCTTTGATAAGAAATGGTTGTATATTCAAAATAATTGTTAATTCAGTTTAAGGAAATATGTTAATAGACAAAATTGATACGGGTCACCAGAAAAAGTCATGACAATAATATATAAAGATAGTAACTTTTTATTATACTAAAGACAATACAAACAAAAAAAAAGTTGAGTAGTACACAATTTAAAGGACAATTTTCTCTAAAAACTATAAGCTTTCAAGCTGAAAAAAATACATATATCAGATATGTAAGTAAAGTTAGGCTTATCACTAATATTTAAAAAAGCAACATTAGTTATGTTACTTGTTAGAGTGATATTTATAAGTACATAGTTTTATTGATTGGATCCTAAAGTAAAACGGTAAAGATAATGTAGGATTGTTTTGTCCTTGGTGGAAAGTTATAACACTTTTAATTCAAAACTAAAATCTTTAGTTACATGTTTCTTATAATGTTTCATGTAATGTCCACTTGATCTATTTTTAGATATGTGTATTACAATGCCCTGATCACAGCTTCAATAATACTCTTGTGAAAAAAGATCAGAAAACAGAGTGTTAAACAGTGCTAAATTATATTCACCTCAGTTTAATTATGTGAACTTTTTTATGTGTAAATACTCCATACAGTTTACACTCTGCGTAATAAGTCTGGTTTATACTATAAATATTATCAAGGGAAAATAGGTCAAAAGTTCCCATTGTAAGTATGGTTATCTTACTAATATAAACATTTAAAAATTAAATGGCTCAATTGGTAAATAAAGAAATATTAAACTTTTCATTCTATTTCCTACCAATCATTTCACAGTCATAGCTTAGAGACACTAAATTTTGCTCTAAAAGATGTGAACGTTTATCTCCTTTAAAAAATGATACTGATTCTCTAGAAGATCCTCATGCTATTTATCCAGTAACATTCAAGCACTTGCAATGGCAAATTACTAGCAGGAACACTGAAGTATGCAAAAGTATTAAACACACCAAGCTGTCCCTATTTCCAGGTGAAAAATTTGAGGAATTTAACGATGTATTTGTCCAGATTCATTTGCTTGCAGCTTCTCTAAAATGTCATCAAGTGCCTAGTTGTTAAGGCCAATGCCTTATATTTTTAAACATCAGAAAACATAAACACACTTTTGAACACTTCAATACAGGATAAACGAGAATAACTACATTCTACTGTAAATAAGAAAAAGTGAAATTATTTTCTCAGCAAAATCTAATTTAACCTAAAACTCAGAAGTTGTGTTCTTTAGAGGCATGTTAGAAAGCATTGGTCTTAAGAGATGATACAGAGCAGTTTTCTTCAAACATTTTTGCTCCCGTCCCCAAAAATAATTTTGACAAATAAATGGTGCCTTATGCATATTTAAATTAGATGAAAATTTTCATCATAAATTTTAGTTACAAAATATGTGCAATTTCTGCCATATTTAATACTGATTTTTTAAATAAATTCTAAATTAGTCTTCCAAATCTCCTACATAATATTAATACCATACTGGATACCTACTATCATTTCTTCTAAAATAAAATATTTAAAATACAGGAATTTGTATTTCCTTGACTTTGTATTTACTTTCTACTTTCTCCACAGAACCTTATTCTACTTTGAACCTTGGAAATCTTTTCTTGATCACTATTAACACTTCTTTGAAGTAACTTAAACAACAAGCACATACTCATTGATATTGAAATTACCTTTAAATTAATTTTCTTTGCCCATAAGGCCCCCAGTATTTTTAATCCTCTGGAGTAATCATTACAACTTATATGAGCACATAATTAATCAAACAACAAATAAATTAGAAAAATTGACATAAAATTACGAAAAATGAAAAATGAAAGGCAAACTTTGATTGGAAAAGTATCTCGGAATAAATTAGGGGAGTGGTGTTTATGAGCCTTGATTTAAAAACCTTTGGCTCTCTGGAGATTTTACTTTTCCAGGAAATTCACCTTAGAAGAGTGAGCCTGGGTAAGAGATATGCCTTCCTTATAAAGTTAGGAGAACAGCAATGTGAAGTGAGAAATGGGAACAGAGAATGCCAACTGACCCCCTGTAGCATTTTCGGCAGGTCAACTTAAGTATTTGCGAATGGATTTTTGTAAAACTTTCTGTGCACCCCTCTCCCTCATGTCCTTATCACAATACCATTCTTCTAACATCCCTAGGGACATTGTTGTTAACTTGAGCTGTCTAAGAAAAAGTAGTTTTCCTGAGTTACTCCTTTGGATAAAGAACTAATTTTCAGTTTCTTAGATGGTACCATGTTACCTTTTGAAATCTGCTTTTGACCACTTGACTAGCCAATGTGCTATCTGAGCTATCACCTCACTAGTCAGCTAACTCATTCCACACATGCACAGATTCTGAACTAAAAAAGCCATATTAAGGAATCCTAGCATAATAGCTCCATCTGTTAATAAGAACTCAATTAGCATATACTACTGGAAAAGCACTAGAGAAACAAATAGTCAGCTTTTAACATGTAAATACTAACTGGGCAAAACAGTCTATTAAAATATTTTAAAAGAACTCTAAAAAAATAAACACTGTATTACTATTGCTCATCTTAAAATGTAATGAATAGGGCTCTTATCCTGTGGAATGTCCTAAAATGTTTGGCTCAGTTGTACTACCTAGGTTGGCTTAAAGCAGAAGCAGAAAACCTTCCAGAAAGGATATGTTTGGCGTTCAGTCTCTGCAGATATGAGTTGACCTTATCCTGGAATGCCAGAGTGGCTTCACATCCAC